TTGATATAACATATTTTGTGGTGATGATTAGAATGTAATTATATGCTTCATAATATAAGTTACATTGAGGATTGAAATTATTCATGTTGTACTCATGACATGTTGAACAAGATGTTGTAATTGTAATTGAAAACTTGGTTGCATCATGATACGAAATGCAATAGTTTATTACATTTGCATATGTATGGGAAGCATTGCATTCATGGGTATTTGACATAAGTATGGGTGTATGTGCATGTGGTTTGGATCAAACACTATTCTTGGTGGTTGAGGCGTGGACTTAGGGAGGTTGAACCTAAGTCCGATTGAGTTGCACGGGTTGCATGGAAACTTGTATCGGGTATAACAAGAAGGGTTAGACTCTCCCTCGGGTGCAAAATTCAATTACTGATTTATACACTTACAACAGTGAAAGTCCAAAACAGTGTATTGATATACACGGAAATCGGAGGTGGGATACCAAAATTTGTGTCAGTGTGGTGGACCGTTGGTACAAGTCCAAGAACCCAAGAAAGACACATGGTTCATTTTTATAAAGTAGTCATTGGATGTGCAACATCAATGACAGAGCCTTGGAATGTTCGATTACATACGCATGACATTGCATGTGTTATGTGAGCTGGTGAAGGTTTAGGTAGCATCGCATATGTGAGTCACATCTCATAACATGGCATGTTATTGTGAATTCCATTATGAATTGTATATTCTTGGATGGATGTTTATTTAATTGTTAAATTACATGTGAACATTTCATATACATCTGGATTTGGAGGTAGCCTCTTTAGGATATTCACTATTAAGCGTAGCTCACTCTTTATTGGAATAATATTTCAGGTGCGGAACAAGCGTCGATGGACAGCTCTCACTTGAGTCCTTGTTGATGAAAAAAGCCAAGTTGTGGCTTCAAATTACATTTTTGTACAACAATCATGTAATTGATTTTGGACTTGCGATGTTGTATAAAGGATTGTATAATGAACTCACATAGACTATATTTTTTTGTGACATTAGATGCTATATGAGTTTGCATAAATGTTGCATGAGATTAGGTGAGTTGAAATTGAAAAATGATTGAATTAAAGAAAAACTAGGCCCTGCTACCGATAGCATGATTGCAATGGGCAGCTACTGGTAGCTTGCTGGTCGTGGGCTCAACTACCTGTAGCTAGGTTCATAGCTATTGATAACTCGTTGGCACTGGCAAAGGGCTCAGCTACCGACAACAAGTATACGAGCTACCGGTAGCTCCTTCAAAATTTTCAAAAATTTAAAATAACTTTGTCAAGCCTCCGGGCCTTGAGCTTTTTTGTTTAAAGGATGTAAATAAAGTAATATTTATGGCAAATTGATAGATATTAGACCTTGGAATGGTCATATGATGATGTGGTGTCGAGTTATGTGGTATACACGGGTATTTCTACTGGTTGATCAACGGGTTGAGAAATGACCCTCGGATTCTAGGGCATCACAGTCTCTAAAGTTTAGTATGCTCGAGCAGGCCTCTTAGTGTATGGTTGATTGCTCACTATTTTTGTGCTTGACTGGGACTTGGATGGACTCCTAAGGAACCATGTTTTAATGGTCTAAATCAACATAAAAAACAATGAGAAATGTAGATTAGTAGATAAAGAATTGAAACTATGTTAGTATCCTTGATTAGGCACCTTGACAGATAGGGCTGTCAATTTTTTTCGTTAACACGAACCCGAAAATAACATAATTAGTTGACACGAGTAATAAATAAATCAAATTAAGGTTCGACACAAATAACACAATTAATGGGTACTGTAAATTGAAAATAATTATTTAACGAGTATTGTAGATAGAAAATAAGAATTTTATAATTTTTTAAATAGTATTATATTAATTGTTGTCAAATGAAATAATTTTTTATTAACACAAATATTGACACGTACCGAAAGTGACACGACAAGAAAATAACATGACCGAAAGTGACACGACACAAAAATGATACAACACGACATGATTGACACCCATATTGATAGAGGCCACAAAAGGGGAAAGACTCTAGGTACTCGTGCACTGGGGGCACCACATGCATGACCCTCCCATAGTGGCCAGTCGCGACCCTCCACCTCGGGTGTCGCCTCTTGCCTTGAATGATGTACCCTTTTCTCAATGTATCCGTGGAAATGTCACATTTGTCTAATTAATGCTTGAGACACTTGGCACGTGGTGAATAGTCGAGATATAATTATATTCAAGATAATTATAGGTGTTGTTTATAGTATTCCAAATATAGTAAAATCACTTATTGAAATTTTTAATTTGAAACATGTAATGTATAACAAAATAGTAACAACCAAGTGTAAAACAATTACACAGAAAATTGAAACAGTTACAATAGTCTTACCAAAACAGTTACATGTAACTGTTTATTTAAACAATATAAATACTAACCCGGTTGCAAAACAAGAACTGTAATTGAATTTTAGGTAGATCAAAGCTAGTATTTGATACTATGTCCTTAAAACAGATTTTGCTCCCACAAACGGTACTTATGGAATATCAAGTATCTGTCTCCCAAGATACAATAATCTTCATGCGAGTAGAAGTAGCACTTCAATCTACTCATCCAGCAAACCATAAATTGTGTTATATACTCTCCAAATACAGATACCTAAATAATATGTAAGACTGCCTTAAATGACTAAAAGTGTATTTAATGAATTGGATGCAAAATGATTATATAATTGAGTTATTTATAGGGAGAATGATGACTAATCTGGACTTCACTTGTGTAACTGATATCTATGAACAGACACAACTCAAATTTTGGACTTGAAGGAAGCAAAAATTCGAACCAATGGATACTGAAAATTAAATTTCGGGTTAAGAAATTAACGTCCAATTAATTAAATAATTTTTTTCCAAAAAGACAGGGTTTAGTTTAAATCACACCTACACTCACCCAAACCGAATCGTGGCATGGTGGGCGGGTGGCACGCGTGTGTGGTAAAATCGAAGGCATGTAGACGCTCGCTCCGCTCATAAAACTGTGGTATTCCTTGGGCCCAATTCCATAGAGCAAACTTAGCCTATATATGCCTATGTAGAATTTCCTCCTCAACCAATATGGGATTAGTGTCAAACTCCACATTACACAACCTTTATTTCCACATTTCAAGATGATCACTTTGAAACTTATTTTCTCATTCATTTATTACTCGATTTGAGCAAATGAATATACTAAATTATTATCCTCATTGAGTAGAATACGAATTTTCAAAAGTTTATTCGAAATAACGAACATGTCCCACTTTAATTTAAACTCAAAATTGACAAAAAATTTAGTTTTTACACATATAAAACTGTTTTAGTCCAACAATAGGTGAACACAGTTATTGTATACACCGTTGATCCAGTAACGAGGTTGGTGCGAGTAACCCATAGAACAACTCTGTCTGCCCAAGTACCTTTGCTATTAATACATTCATCATTTGCCCCTACAGTACACACAATAACCTGGTTTGAGATAGACATTTTGGCTGGGATGAGAGTATGCACTATCTCCACCTACTCAATAAAGTTTTTGCCCACTGGTTGGTCCTAGCACTAAATACAGAGCTCGAGTCCTTCCATTTCAACCACTCATCCCTTTAAATACATTGACATTAGACACATGTGTCAATCTCTTTTAACTCTTTACTTACATTTTTCTACTAACTCATTTTTTCATGTAAATATGTGAACTAATGTATATGGTTCTTTTGTACTTTTGTTCTCTTGGTTTTTTGTAAAATGATGCTTAGATCCACATAATTATATAAGGAAAAATTTTAACCACATCCCCTTTAGTTTACTATATCTTCAAGGACATCTCCTTTAGTTTATGAATCTTCAATGACACTCTTTCTAGTTTAATTTAAACACCACTAACACCCCTTATCATTAAACTACCATTTCTAACAAAAACAATTCATCTAGAATACCAAAAATGCCCCTACATAACCTCAAGTAATTTTTCTATATAAAATTTTATTAAAATTTGAGTTGTTAAAATTTTTTTAAAAAATTTTAAATAACAATTTTAGTAAATAATTTGTTAGCAAATACTAATTTGTTATTTACTAATTCGTAAATTTTTAAAAAAATTCGAGCCTATTAAAACTTATTTTTTAGATATTAAAATTTGAGTCGATTTGAACTCTACCCGAGTTGTTAGTACCGATTAAAATTTTATTTCAAGTCGATTAAAATTTATATTTTTTTACTTATTAAAATTCTTGTCAATTACAATTCAATTTATTAAAATTTAAGTCAATTAAAATTCATATATTTTTATATATTAAAATTTGAGCTAGTAAAAATTCAATGTGAATTGATTAAAATTTGATTTGAGTCGATTAAAAATAATTTTTAATTGGCTTAAACAATATTTTAACTAGCCCAAATTTTAATACGTAAAAAAAATATAATTTTTAATTGACACAAATTTTAATATGTAAAAAAATAAATTTTAATTAACTTAAGTTGAATTTTAATCGGTTCGAATTTAATTACGTAAAAAAAATTAGAAAATAGAGGGGGTCTCATTGAAAATATACTTATCTAGAGGGGATCTCATTGCAGATATGCTTATCTAGAGGGGGTGTGGATGACGTTTGTCCTCAAATATATCATGAATAATTTAGTAAAATTACATTCTACTTAATATTTTTAATCTGACAGGGGGTGTAATTGAAGATTCAAAAATTAGAAGGGGTGTCCTTGAAGATATGATAAACTTGAGAGGGTGTAGTTGAAATTTTCCCATTATTTAATTATGAGTCGAGAATTGAGATGGCCAACAATGATCACTTTATGATGATGGATTTTAGCATCAAGTTTCAAGTCTATTTATCAAAATAGCAAAGACAATGAAAGAAAGATGATCATGTTTGTATGGAGAAACAGGGGATAGGAAAAACCGATCTAGAATTTCTTCAAAGTTCAAAGTTGCAAAAACTTTATCACTAATACAGTGTGACATAGTATCTATATATTATCATTCATTTCCACCCTTTGATCCAAAGCTACAATAAAACTAGTAGAAGTGAAAAAAACTATCATTTCTCCCTATCAATTTCTGAACTCGGACTCTGAGATGTACCTTCTTCATCTTTCAAATCTTCTTCTCTATCTTCGGTATTTACATCCTGAAATAGCAATACCCCATCCTTCAATCAATTCGATCAATCGATAATTCAACCCACCCAAGCAGGACTTAAAAAAAAAACAAAAGCAGATTGAATTAAAAGGCCTTTACTTGCCTGCGACTGATAGCCCTTAATCTTGATCTGTTCCTTCTCACGCAATGACTGCATCGGGAATTTCCTCTGACACAAATAAGTAGCTTTTAAAATCTGGGGTTTTTTCTTACATTTTTCTAAGCAATCAAGCTAGCATGAAGCATAAACTGATAAACATATGGCATATATATTATTATTATTATTATTATTATTATTATTATTATTATAGGTACGCTTACCATGCATAAAGCTCGGAGCTCCTTTAATCGAAACAACCGATCAACCTCGATCTCGAGCTGCTTCTGCACTTCACCTCTCCTTTCCAGCTCCTTCATCTGCATATCCAGCACCATATCTCTCTCATTCAGAATCTTCTCTGTCTTCTCTTTTTCTACCCTCAGTCGTTCAAGCCTCTCTCGTATGACGCTGAGCTCATCTGCTAGGGATGCACCGAATGGTTCAGTAGTGTTGACCGGCTTGATGATCTTTGTTGGAGTTGCATAGACGGGATGGTTCTCCTTGTTTGAATCATTGGCAATTGAGATCTCAATACATTGATGCTTCTTTAGGCCGTTCACGTGGTTTATGATCGGAGTGGCCGGGGAATTTTTTGGCTGTAGAGGCTTACGGCCAGTTTTTGGCCGTTGTATCTGATTACCGGAGATTGGAGATTTGGCCTTCAGCATTTCTTATTGCTTTTTGCTCCACCAGATATGTCTCTGTATCACTGTGTGTGTGTGAGAGAGAGAGGGAGAGATGCCCTTTTCTTCTTTTTGCCCTTTTGGAGTCCAGGGGGATGGAGGGGACTGTGGGTGGTGTTTGAATTTGAAAAGAGACAGGCGGACTAACGGCTATCTTTTTTAATCATATGGTCTGGTGGTCCGTCTGAGCATGGACAAGATTAGTTAAAATATTTGAAGCTACATAGATACCACTAAACTAAACCCAAGCTTCTCTAACTCTACAATAAAATGTAGAAATCACTAAATTCCTCCAATGACCCTCTCATTTGTTATGTTTTTAGGTACATAAAATAAAAAGTTCAACCACACTTTAATTTGTTTTAGGTATAACAACGGATGGAATTGAAGAATTAATTTCGATCCAAACTCTTTCAATGGTATTAATTGGTGCACTATTTACTATATTATATTTGAATCGAGGTTTGAATAAAGTATAAATTTAAACACTAATCTTATATATGGATTAGGTAATAAAGTATAGTATTACATTAAAAATGACAAAACTAACCATATAGTGTATATATATATATATATGCTTTGTGGTGCTATAGTGTAAGGGTAAGGAAGTCATTTCAAGTATTAATCCTAGATAAGTAAAAATTAATATCTCCTCGGCTGTGGTACTCATTTATGGTAAATTTTGGAGTGTTAAATGAGTCTATTACTTTAACAAAATAATAATATCGGGTGTTATTACCTCATCTAAACTCAGTATTAAATCAAGATTGAATTAATTTAGTCCAATCCAAAGCATTAATACTTAAAAATAAATAACATGTAGTTCAAGTGGTAACAAAAACGAACTACAAACTCAAATATCCTGAATTCGAATCTTGACAACCTTTTTAAGTCAGGTCATGAGAGATTTATCTTTCATAAATACCTTAGTCCTGGAATTGAATTTGTAAATATTAGCAATTTATTACATAAGATTAAAAATGTATAAAGAAAAAGTGAGTGAAAACCCCCAAAACAAAAATAAACCACTAGAGGATGAGAAAGTAAACTACATATCTTTATACAATGGGGAAGCATCTTGCAGATGCAGATCATAAATAATCCATAGGAAGCTCCCACTCATCCATGGGTTGCCTCATTTTTGAGCGGAATTTCCGTGTATCAGAGCTTCTCCATCTGCTTGGACGATAATCAGATGACTCCGGTTGTCTTTCAAGGTCAGAATATCCTCCAAGCTGATCTATGGAGTTCCCCATGTTCTGGGCATCCCAAAAGCCCTGATACACCAGTGAAAGTTCTATTATTTACTGGACTAAAATGCATAGTGTGTCAGACTACTTGACATATATATTGACAATACAATTACATCAGCTTCACCATCATCCAGAAATGATGCATGATCCATCAACTACTACAGAATAATAAGGCACATCTGACCGACTGACTGAACTGTATATGCTTCCATAAACAACAGATGAATGCGTGGTTCTGAAAGTGTCACCAGATTGTGTATTGTAATGCAGAAATCTTACGTCTTCATATGTGCCCAAGCACAGGCATGCTAGCTCAATCAACTTAAAGCCTTAAATCACCCCTTTTAGTGGAAAACCAAGATCTGTGTAGTCAATCAACTAACATAAATACATCCTAACAAGCCATGACTACAATTCCATAGGCACATCAAGGTACCTTCGTTAGCCTTTGTATGCGTGAGGCTGCAGCTTCATGCACAACCACACAGTCGGATACAACTTCTAGCACATCCTCTACAAAAAGAGCATAGGTGCTCACCTGTAATAGAAACAATCTAAGGGTGTCAAAAACTTTTCGAAGGATCAGGTCTTAGTGACAAGCTTTGGAATCTTTGTTGGCAGCAATATGTAGCAGGAACCAGTATTAAACAAGGAGAAATCAGTCAAAAGGCTAATAGGCGGATTACATCATCCTTTGCACTCTAATGTTTCATTCACACAATTAAGAGCAAGGGCAGTCCACCTACCAAACTTGATGGAATGATGGATATCCCAAAAGAATCAAGCTCAAGTGATTCTACAGCCCCTGAATTGATGTTAAAAGTGAACCCCCGGACCTGGAAAAAAAATGGTAAGGTTATTGTGGAAGAGAAACTACTAGGACATGGCTTTGATATGGAGATGTTGATGCATGAGATGTAGACTTACCTTCCCAATATTTCGTCGAGCTGGCGTTACAACATTATATCCTACCTAACAAAGAATACTAGTTAAACAACAGAAAAAAACAAGATACTTAACGTAAAAAAACAATGTGATAAAAATAAAGAAAAGATTCATGCAAAATATAGGCATGCTTGTATTCCCCAACCAAAGCACTCATATACCATTGAGAATCAAGTCATGCATAGACCAATATCACATCTAAACCTTTCAAAATAAAAAGTTTGTGCAACAGAAGTTCAGGGATATCGTGCATAGAAATGTACAAATCTGGAGGCATACACCTGAAGGTATAGATGTAAGCCCACAAACATTCATAAATATCCACCAGCATATACTCTACTATTAATTGCTAGGCAGGCAGTCAATCTACACAACGTTATTCTAAATACAAGGTTTTGGCGGAGAACTCCCTATTCACCATTGACCTATCGTAGGCCATCTCATCAGCCACAGAATAACATTTCATTTACAGGATTTGTGCTCATGAAATATTAGATGTTTTGGACTAATATGATGCAACTTTCCTACTCTTTTCTTGAAGAGGCAACCAACCTCACAAGAAAATAAAATGCGAACAAAAGTGAATTTTAATACACATCTAATCTGAAATAGCTATTTTATTTAGGATCTCTTATTGCTCTCATGCCAAGACATACACAGTCTTATTTCTCAATTCTCACTACATTCATCAAATTTTTGAAAAGCAATCCTCGAGAAAATTTAAGACAGGACCATACCCCTCTTTGATGCATAGTATTGCTATAAATAGAAGGGTCAGTTCAAAAGCACAGAACCACACTCCTTTGAGAACAGTAGCACTTCAAATCTATAATTATTTCCATAGAGAGAAGATTCATTATGTTGCATACAAGTAATGATAGAAAACACCAGAAATAGAATTTCCATTACCATGCACTTTTATGAGATTATACATTAACGTCTCGATAGACTGCCAATATTCATACAACATAGTTAAACGACCACTACAATAGTAACAAGTAATAGTTCAAGATACCTTATATGAGTTGAAAACCTAAGGTTGTCGTGAACAAGCACATGACCAAATTCCATATCCCATGGTGACTTAGAAAGTTACTGATATTATGATAATGACCAGAGCCTGAAGGCTCTCTATACCTTAAAGTTTATCAATGCCCCTGCCCTTCCTTTGTCCCCAATAACATTTATACATATAAGACTGATAATGGCTGAAAAGAATCATATTTACCAAAGTCTCTAGTCCACCCAGTTTAATTTCAGTTTCCATCACACTTTCTTCCTCAATAAGCACAACATCGCCAACCTGTAAGAACAAGAAATTATTACCTCATAAAATGGAACAATGTTGCAGATATTGGGTTTACTGCTCAAGATGTTAGTGTGCTATTTGAGAATATTCTAATAACAAGGAACTCAAGCTCTAGAGAACTATATCACCTATCAATATACGCAAGGATATATATCTTAAAACTATAACACCTTACATATGGGTATCATTTGCTCACTTCAAAGGGAATCTCAGCCTCACAAACCACCATATACGAACATGGTCTGCGGGTACTAGGGTGTTCATTATTATCAAGTGACGTCTAATTTTAATGAAAATAGCCAGGACTGTAGTTGTTATCATCATCATCATGCAAGTTGTGACAATCTTGTACGTGGAAGGACGAAATAAAAATTGACAATGGAGATACAACAAACAAGCATGTTGTGTTGATAAAGCAGAAAATTGATAAGGAGCAGCATCATAATTGGTTGGTCACGGGACTAAGTGCTACGCTAGAAAAGCCATTCATATTTTTAAGGGAGGGAGACACAGAGACAGAGAGAGATTATAACCGAATAATATCCACCTGGCTAACATCCTCCAGAAGAAACCTTTCTAGTTCACCAGAAAGCAAGCTTGGCCTCACCTCCACAACCAATACCACCCACTGCGAAGGAAAGGGAATATATATATATATATATATATAATGTAGCAACAGTAAGAAGACCGTGGATTTCACTCAAACGACAAAATTCTGATGTGCAGATAGAGAAATTCACTCACAGAAAAGGTCTCCACCCATAGTTGTGAAACAAAACCCAAGCTGAGAGCAGATTGCATGCTGATCACCTGCTTTGCAATCATGCTTGACCTCCTCATGAATTGTCGCCCGCTCTTCACAACCGCCCGCACATTGTGCTTCTCCGACTCCTCTAATTTCGAGCCAACTCCATCAGAGCCTTCAATTCTGGCCAATTCCTCGTCTTGTAGCCCTCCCACACTCTTTCTTCCATCATTCTCATTAAATTCCAATAGAAAGTCAACACCAGATGAAGCCGACCCATCAGTACCTGAAATATGCTGCTTTCTCCTGTGGCCAATATCAAAACCCTTTCTCGTAGCTGAATTTTCTGATTCTTCTCCGTCAATTCGACCTGTTTCAAAATGAATTTGCCTTTTCTCTCTCTCTGTGAACCCTAATTCGCCATAAAAATCATATTCTTCCGAATCAAATGAGCTCGAATTCCGACTGGAGTTTGCAGAAGTCTCGGATTTTGCCATGTCAATTTCATCTGTACTTGATTTCAAATTATCCTTGACTAGCTGTAACTCCCCATTTCTATAGCTTGTGCCACCACCACCACCTGAATTACGGGCAGTAATCTGTTGAATAGGTACGATTCTGGTTCTCCAATTAAAGCTGCTAGTGACCCCTAATTTTCGTGTTCTGGTGAAACAATAAGCAGGGAGGGTTGAGGAGACGCAATCACACATGTTTATCCAATACAAATCACTCTCTGAAGGAAACTTCAGATCATTACCCAAGTGTTCAGCACACAGCTCCCAACCCCAGATTTGGAAGCGGAAGCAGAAACGTGAAGGGACAAGAAGGACGAAAAACTTACCCCCTCCAAAAATTATAAAAAAAAAAAACCGGAAGCCCGTCTCATAGAATCAATCATTTTTGAGTATGGTTATAGTGGAGCTTATTTTTTAAACAGCAATGTTATTCAATTGGCGTAATTTGTTATGAGCTTTTGAATTCAGTGTTCATCTTGAAATTTAATACTAATCCAATAATTTTTACAAATTTACATTATTTTGTCAATAAATTATGTTAGATTTTTAGGTGTAAATAGTATTACTTTTTTTAAAAATGATCTTACAAAATTGTTTAACTTTGACTCATTTAAAAAAATAAGTTCAACCCGAATAATTTGACTATTTTACACGTAAAAAAATTGAGTTTTTCGAATTCAAGTCGAATTTTTTAGGCTTATCTTTTAAACAAATCTAAAAAATTATACAAATTCAATTCATTTAGAATACAAGCCGAACTTGCTTTGAGTCTTGTCCGAGTAGGTCGGCTCAATTAACAGCACAATTTGTAAGTAATGTTATTTAGATTAATACCAAGTTTTAATGTTTTATGGGATTCATAGTCAATCTAAATACCATAATAAATTAAGTTAACAAATTAGATCTCAATAGTATTGCTCATCATTTTTATGTTAAAATTCTGATCTAAAATTTTAACCTTATTTGCTGACCTTATTTACTATTACATTTGAATTAACTATGAGTTTCATCAAATATTAAAACTTGTTCTTCGTCCAATGATTCCAAATTCCAATAAAATTACACTATACAAGTTAGCAATGAAATCAAATTTTTAATTTTAAATAGCATTACTCTAAAATTATAAATTCTTTCACCTCCTTATATATTATAAATTTAATAGACTATTCTATGATTTTGTAAACAACTAAGGAATTTCATAAAAATTAAAGGTCATAAAACAATCTTTTTATTGAAAACATGTGTCAAAATAAATTTTGTGTCATAACATTCGTTATATATATTTCTTTGGAATTGTCTCATAAAACAAATTAATATCTTCCATCTATTTCTATGCATTTTCTACATTTTTAATCATAAAAACTAGATGGATTGAAGGTATTATATGTTATTCAAAATGTGTATATAATTAAATTATATTAAATTGTATAAAGTCTAATTTATTTTAAATTATAGAGAGAATTATAGTCAGGCCCCTGAGATTTGTCACTTAATCATTCAGACCCCTTGATATTTAAAATATTACACATTGACCCCTTGAAGTTTGTACGTACGTAACACTTAAACCCCTACTGTAAATATATTTATTAATAAATTACACTTATACTCCCATAAAGTTTGTATGGATATAATACTTAGACATCTTAAGTTTAAAATATTATACTTAGACAAAAAAATACTTCAATCAAATATAGAATATCAAAATATTTTAAATTTTATAACAAAAATTCATGTTCTATTGAAATAAAGTTAAAAATAAAAATTTATTTTTTTTAAAAAAAATTGTAATTAGTATACAATTATACTATTTATTGAAATAAAACTAAATAATCAAATAAGGGGTCTAAGTCATTCATAATAGAACATAAATTTTACATCTAAAATTCATATTTTATTATTTCATTTATTGAAATAAAAGTCTAGTTTTTTTAAAAAAAATCATACTTAGTATATAATTATATTATCTATTAGAATAAAACCAAAAAATTAAACAAGGGGTCAAACCGTAATAGACACAATAGTTTTTAGCTTTAATTGGGGTAGTTTGATATTTAATTTGGTTGTTTAAATGACCAAATTAAATTCTAATAGACAATATAAGTGTAAACTAATTATGATTTTTTAAGAAAAAAATTAAATTTTTATTTTTGATTTTATTTTAATAAATGATACAATAGAATATGAATTTTGGTTGTAAAATTTAAAATATTTGATATTTTATCTTTGATTGGAGTATTTTTGGTGTAAGTATAATACTTTAAACTTAAGGGGTCCAAATATTTTATACCTACAAACTTTTAGAGGGTCTAAGTATAATTTATTAAATAATATATTTATATCAAGGGTTTAAGTGTTACGCGCGTATAAACCTAAGGGATCTGTGTGTAATATTTTAAATGTCAGGAGGTCTGAGTGATTAAGTGAAAAATTTTAAGGGGTCTAGGTGTAATTCTACTTAAATTATATTAAGTTGTATAAAGCCTAACTTATGCACTAATCTAAACAGAATGTGTAGCAGTGCGTTCACAAATAGGACTATCAAAATTCGACACGACACGATTAACCGATATAAATCGACACGAATTAAACGGGTTTGAGTGATAAACGGGTTGACACGCCAAACACGTTTAATAAACGGGTCGTGTTCGGGTGAAACCTGTCAAACTGTTTATCACACGTTTACCCGTTTTAAATAAAATTAATATAATAATAAATTAATAATTTTTTTAAAAAATTAGTAAGAAAAAAAAAATGAAGAAATCAATAAAAAAAAAGTAAAGTAGTAGTTCAAAGACAAAGAATAAGAGTTGGAGAACACTTCAAATAAAGGCAAACAAATATCTTTTGTTTTTGTCCTACATTGAAAAATGACAAAAGATGGGGAGGGTTGAGTTGCCTATAAAAAAGACAAAGGAGAGGAGTTGTAGAGCACTTGAAAGACAAAAACAAACCAATGTCTTTTGTTTTTGTCCCATATTGAAAAATGAGGGGAGATGGGGAGGGTGAGTTGCCTATAAAAGACAATAGCTTCTTGCTTCTTCTTTTTTTAAAACCTTCAAGTCTTATTTTTATGAGATTTGATTTAAAATTTATTTTTTTTGAGGTAAGTGCAATTAGTAGTAAAAAAAATAGAGTATTAAAATTTGTTGATATAATTTTTTTAAATTAAACGGGTTAAACGAGTCGTGTCGTGTTACCCGTTTATTAAACGGGTCGTATTCGTGTTGAGATTTTTTACCCGTTTATTAAACGTATCATGTATGAGTTTATACGTTTTTCACTTGTCAACCGTTTAACCCGACACAATTGATACCCCTACTCACAAGGACGCAAATTAGCATGAACAATAAATAAGAAAAACAAAAACTTCAATTCGAGTCTTGTGAAATACAATCTCTTTAAAACATATTTGTTCCCTCTCAATATTTAAGGTGGATGAACAATTATCTCCCAAGATAGAACATATTTTTCCTTCATGAAGAACCAACACTTCAATTTTCAAGATTCCACAAACACAACTTGTGTTTCTGCTTGAAGCGAATTAAAAGAATAATTCAACAATATGCATAGAGAAAGAGAAGAAATTCTGAAACTGGAATCCAGAATGGGATGTAATGAAATGACAAATGAGCAGTCTGTTCAGATTGCCTGATAAAGGCATGAGTTTGTCACTGTTCAAATTTAAGTGACATTCTCTTTAATCTGAATAAGTAAGAGGACATTTTCTTTAATCTGAATAAGTAAGAGGCAACTCCTGGCTCTCTCTCTAGAAATGAACACAGACTCCTTTTGGAGCCAAATTTAAAAGGTAACAAATAGAAATTTAAAAATCTGGTTGGGATTTTTAATTCTGATTCGCATTCGGATTCAATTGATTTAACTCATGACCTGCACCGCTACAAATAAATTTTGTCCAAAAAAGATTATATCTTTTTGACCCAAGCCAAACCCGGCCTGTTTGGGTTGAGGTGGGCGGGCGGGCGACGCACACGTGTATAATAACCAAAATAGTATAGGCGTTCGTTCCGCTTACAAAAAATGTAGTACCCTTCAGGCCAAACCCATTTTTTTTTAAAACAAGCCAAATTTATTTCATCAATTCAAAGAATTACAAGAATCAAATGGATATAAAGCCAAAATTGGCTTTAATTCTTCAAAACAATACCATGAATACGAAACTTCTTCTTAATCTCTAAAATCCAGAATTACTGGGAAAGAACACTTCGAAGAATTATTGAATTCTTCTTCCTTATAATTGGTAACCCAATCTGGTCCTGAAGCAGCAACAGCTTCCCTTCCACAAGCAACCCAGTTAGAGTAAAAACATTGCAACATCTTGTCTTGACAGCAAGTGAAAGCAAAAAATCTGTTACTCCATTCGCTTCCCGATATATATGAGTAATACCAACATTAACCTTTCCCAGCAAATCACATATCCTATTTACCAACATTCTGCATTTCCATGGTATCTCAGCCTTCCCCTTAATCATCATCACCAGTATCTGAAAATCAGATTCAACCTCCAATTTAACTTCCCTCAAACCATGCTGCATAGCCATCAGCACACCTCTTCTCCAAATCAATTGAGTATACTCACAATCAATAAAAAGATGATTAAGAGATTCCTCATTATTAAAACATAAACTATATCGACCAACCAGAGTAATTCCCACACTTCGAATTCTCCTATCCACAGTCAGAGTATTTTGAAAAAATTTCCATCCACATAATTGTGCACTAGGCAAAACTCTCTATTTCCAGATGAAATTAGCCACCACGTTATGTTCTCCCTGCATCCTTACCTACTCCCATGTTGATTTAACTGAAAAAATACCAGATCGAGTATGTTTTCACACCATTTTATCAGCCAAATTGGAATAAGAAACCCATGAAGATAGAATTTCACTCTGCAACTGATCCCTTAGAATCTGAGCTATATCTTCAAAATTCCAAATATTACCAGTAAATACTTCTGCTAAATAGGGAAAGCAATTAGACATTTCATTATCCCTGTTAAGCAATTGACCAGAATCCAACAAAGGATCACGCCAAAAATCCGTATTCTGTCCATTTCCAACCAACATAACAGAGCTGTTCACCACTTGTGCAAACCAAGGTTTCAAAAATCTGAAACTCTTAGAACCCCCAATCCCTCACACACCTTAACTAATGTTTTCCCCTTAAAAACTTACACTGAAAAACTTTAGTCCATGAAGAACCTCCTTCCAAAATATTCCAAACCTGCTTAATCTGAAAAGCAGATTGAATTTCCTCAAAACTCCTAATCCCCAATCCTCCTTCCACTTGGGGGCCAACCTATGAGTATATTAAATTACTGAAGTGTTGGTTTTCTTTCAATGTGGAGCAAACTTTATTTTATTATATTAATTTTAGTTTATTTCATCATTTTAAATAGGTACTTTGAGACAAAATTTATCATTCAAATTTTAATAATTTAAAAAAAATAAATATACCATATTAATTTCTTTACATAGAAGAACACGTTTAACCTTGGTTTTACTAATTTCGAGATATGAGTCATATTTTTATTTGGGATATAAATTTGGATTATAATAAAAAGAATCATTGAATCAATGGATCCCATCAACTTTTTTAAATGAAACCTAATGAACAAATTGTCCTCCTTCGATTGCAATATAAATTTAGGAAACAAATTTGACTCATTTAGCATTTCTCGAAATGTAATCATGTCTAATGCGCAAGTGCCGTAACGTCATTGGGCGCCTACCACAATATTTTATAAAATTCCAGACATATACAAAAGCATATTCCGAAGGTTCTAACTTCTCTCCCAACCACTCCTATCGCTCCACGTTTAAGATGCCAAAGAATTTATTCGGCCACCCCACCTTCATGGCTTCGGTTGGCTTGTGAGATCCACCATTCTTGCTCTCCATTTATATATATAAAGGGCGACGTGAAGCCTTGTTTGGAGGATAATCGTTTCCTTAAAACACGTCTTCAATCAAAGTCCTCTCTTTCGCGGTCTCTGCAGCCCTCCCAAGGTAATTCTATGATCTCTCTTCATGTTTGGTTTTCTTTTTGGTACGTGCTTTAATTTGTTATCTATTTGGTTATTTTGAAATCGTAAGGAAGGAAAAAACGGTGTGTGTATATTTTGAAATCCTATATGTCCCATCCAAATCTTTATCTTTTTTCTTACGAGGACCGCAAGAAAAACGAATTAACTGGATGATTAAGGTTTGTTTCTTTTTGTATGTTCAGCAATTAAACAAGCCCATTAATATTCTCATTTCCAATTTTTGTGATGATTCCATTGATTTCTGTGAAAAGATCTGAAATTGTTTTCATGTTTTTTTTTTTTGGGAAAGTTGAAATTGTGTTCATGTTTATACGCCATTATCTCATTGTATGGTAAAATGACCTTAAACGAACCTGTTGTTTTGATTTCAACTTATCAAAAATTTATCCTAGATCTTTTTGTTCCATGGTTTTTTTTTTGCTTGGCTCTGTAATAGGGAATTAGGGGAGAAATATTGGAACCCTTTTTTTTGGAACTAAAATATTGGCCCTTTTTTTGGAGCATTGGTTAGAATTCATTATTTGGCTTCCTTCTCTTTCGTTTTTTATTTTTTTACCAAGAAATTACGTTGGTTTTGATACATAAGATTTTTTTTTTCCTGTCAAAAAGCTGATTTTGGCAAACCAGATTGGTTTGTGACCTTTTCCTGGGCTATTTTCTGAAATGATCCAACTCTTCAAAGCTATCTGTTATACCTTATCACTTTTTGAGTTTTCAAAACTTTGGCCGCAATTTTTTGTGCTTCAGATGGGAGTTTTATATTAGTTATCTTTCCAATTTAGGTATGTTGTTTGTTTGCAACTTTATGACAACGATGGTGTATCATTAAGGCAATGTTTAAAAACTTGATACTCGACTTTACTTGAAATTTTACTGAGTTGGGTTAGTCTGAAGATTTGATTGAGTCAATAAGTCAACTCTAGGTTGAATAGTTATCTGTGGGTACATAAAGCAGCATATGTCATATGCATGCACAAAACATTCCAGTAGACACCTTGTTTTAGCCACCAAAAGGAATATATGGACAACCTATTGTTCGTTGGTCATGGTAGTGTATGAAATGACATTTGAATGAAATTCGAATCAAGATTTAAGCTTAAATGCCTAGCATTTCATATAAACTTAAGATTTGTTGTTTTATACTTGATTTTGTTTGGTTGGTACTTATGTGTGTTCATTTCATCCATTCTGTATTGGTTTTTCATCCTAATTCGTAGCATACTTGTACTTCAAGTTGAATAACAGATTTGACAACCAGAACTTTATGAATCCAACAACCACTGTGGCATCTGTTGTTTCCTGCAAATTGGGAAACAAGAAGGGCTTCTTTTTCTGGATTTTGGTCTGCTTACTGTCCAAGTTCTTCAAAACTACTGCATACGCGAACTTATTTTTGATCAAGGACGTTCACGGGATTCTTTCACGAGTACGCATCTTGAAAACCTTTGAAGAGCTTCACCCATAATATTGACAAATATTTTGCCATCTGCGTCCCTTAATCAATATTTGGCAGCATGGTTTCTTCCCAGTTACCTGCTTTGGGAAAAACTCGCATGTGCAAATCCTTTCAAGGCTGGTTACTTTTCCCTTTAAGCCCTCCAGATGTTGTCCCATCAGATCAAGTTGAGTTGGACTTCTCTGACGTATTTGGTCCTCTTCCAGCTCAGGCACCAAATGAAGTTATACATGGATTACCAGAAGGTTTAATTGCTGTGGCTAATGCAAGTGAGCTTGTATATGATGATCCCGCGGTCATATATAACCGATCACATTCTTTGGTTGGTCCCTCGGCTTGTGTTAGTCAGTCGCTGAAACTGAGTAAGCTCACCATACATGAGTCGGAAGATTCAATGGAACTAGTAGAGTGTCTCAGTGACGAGTCAATTACGCTTTCTGCAAATAGTTCTGTTGTTCAGGAACCTCTCGTAGGTGTTGATGATATATCCAAGAAGGTCCAGACAGTAGGTCTTGAGGATTTTGAGGTCATGAAGGTTGTTGGGCAGGGAGCATTTGGAAAAGTATTTCAGGTGAGGAAGAGGGGCACATTAGAAATATTTGCAATGAAGGTCATGCGGAAAGACAAGGTTATGGAGAAAAATCATACCGCATACATGAAGGCGGAGAGGGATATTTTGACACAGATAGAACATCCCTTTATTGTTCAACTCAGATACTCATTCCAAGTAATGTTACCTCAGCATTTGTTGCATCCTTGACATACTATGTTCTTATATGGTTTCCTTTTCCTCTATTTTCTATATTATCATTGAAGTGCCGCAACCTAATTTTGGTACGTGAAATGTTACAAAGAACTTGGCCCAAAATTTTGTATGTGGGTTTAATAGCTGGTGATCTGAACTAAATGTACTTATTTTGGGGTTTCTGTTTTAAAAGAAACCTTATATTCAGTTCTTTTCATCTTGCAGACCAAATATAGACTTTACCTGGTCCTGGACTTTGTGAATGGGGGACACCTCTTTTTTCAGCTTTACCACCATGGCCTCTTCAGGTGTTGTCTTTTTCTGGGTTTTGCTTTTGTAAATTCCCTGGATATGTGGTTGATTAGTATTAGGCAAATGTTCCTGGAAATGATATTAGCTAAATGTTTCAGAGAGGATCTAGCACGAATATATACTGCAGAGATTGTTTCTGCAGTGTCTCACCTTCATGCAAACGGCATAATGCATAGGGATCTTAAACCTGAAAATATCCTACTGGATGCAGATGGCCACGTAATCTCTATCTCCCTCTCTCTTTCACTGCCCCCCCCTCTCCTCTTAGGCCATGCCCCATTGTCTATTGTTTGAATTTCACACCTTACTTATTCTTTTTAAGGCACTATTGACTGACTTTGGCCTGGCAAAACAATTTGACAACAACACAAGATCAAACTCGATGTGTGGAACAGTGGAATATATGTCACCTGAAATCATTCTTGGGAAGGGCCATGATAAGGCAGCAGACTGGTGGAGTGTTGGAATCTTGTTGTTTGAGATGCTCACTGGGAAGGTTTGCATTTTTAAATCAACCATATGCCTGAATTGAGCAAATGTTTTTGTTTTACGTATTATTTGGTATAATCCATAATTTCCATTCACATTCCCCTGCCAAATTATCAAGAATTTTGTTGGGTGCCTGACTATAAAGCTTTTGTGGTGTTTATGAGTTGAAACAAGGCCACCATGTGTCCCAGCTGATTTAAACTTAAATTAGCTAATTACTGCACCATTTGTCCAAAATCAGTACAATCAGGAAACTGTTTGTTTGGAATATTTTGTGAACTTCTGATGATGAACAGTTTGAATGATGTTACAAGGTGCAGATTAGCTAATCATCATCATGTGGGGTGTTTTTATTTGGAGAGGAGGGAAAGTGTAATAATTGAGATTTTAGACTATTTTGATTTTTCTTCTTTCATTTAAGAGGAAGTGAATGAAGCTTGAAAACTTATATTTAGTGAAACCAAGGTTCGAAGTATCGGCCGAGTCGTATCCGGCTCAGCCATCACCGATCCGATACCGTTACACAGTACGCGAATAACACGAGACTCAAGCGAATTGGCGTTGACCTGGTCATGACTCTGAGATATCGGTTGAAATTAGAGTCGAATCGTTTGAGTCGGGCCGAGCCACACCGAGACTGACCGAGTCATCAACAGATCAATGTAAAAAACCAGAAAAAAAAAANCTAAATGTACTTATTTTGGGGTTTCTGTTTTAAAAGAAACCTTATATTCAGTTCTTTTCATCTTGCAGACCAAATATAGACTTTACCTGGTCCTGGACTTTGTGAATGGGGGACACCTCTTTTTTCAGCTTTACCACCATGGCCTCTTCAGGTGTTGTCTTTTTCTGGGTTTTGCTTTTGTAAATTCCCTGGATATGTGGTTGATTAGTATTAGGCAAATGTTCCTGGAAATGATATTAGCTAAATGTTTCAGAGAGGATCTAGCACGAATATATACTGCAGAGATTGTTTCTGCAGTGTCTCACCTTCATGCAAACGGCATAATGCATAGGGATCTTAAACCTGAAAATATCCTACTGGATGCAGATGGCCACGTAATCTCTATCTCCCTCTCTCTTTCACTGCCCCCCCCTCTCCTCTTAGGCCATGCCCCATTGTCTATTGTTTGAATTTCACACCTTACTTATTCTTTTTAAGGCACTATTGACTGACTTTGGCCTGGCAAAACAATTTGACAACAACACAAGATCAAACTCGATGTGTGGAACAGTGGAATATATGTCACCTGAAATCATTCTTGGGAAGGGCCATGATAAGGCAGCAGACTGGTGGAGTGTTGGAATCTTGTTGTTTGAGATGCTCACTGGGAAGGTTTGCATTTTTAAATCAACCATATGCCTGAATTGAGCAAATGTTTTTGTTTTACGTATTATTTGGTATAATCCATAATTTCCATTCACATTCCCCTGCCAAATTATCAAGAATTTTGTTGGGTGCCTGACTATAAAGCTTTTGTGGTGTTTATGAGTTGAAACAAGGCCACCATGTGTCCCAGCTGATTTAAACTTAAATTAGCTAATTACTGCACCATTTGTCCAAAATCAGTACAATCAGGAAACTGTTTGTTTGGAATATTTTGTGAACTTCTGATGATGAACAGTTTGAATGATGTTACAAGGTGCAGATTAGCTAATCATCATCATGTGGGGTGTTTTTATTTGGAGAGGAGGGAAAGTGTAATAATTGAGATTTTAGACTATTTTGATTTTTCTTCTTTCATTTAAGAGGAAGTGAATGAAGCTTGAAAACTTATATTTAGTGAAACCAAGGTTCGAAGTATCGGCCGAGTCGTATCCGGCTCAGCCATCACCGATCCGATACCGTTACACAGTACGCGAATAACACGAGACTCAAGCGAATTGGCGTTGACCTGGTCATGACTCTGAGATATCGGTTGAAATTAGAGTCGAATCGTTTGAGTCGGGCCGAGCCACACCGAGACTGACCGAGTCATCAACAGATCAATGTAAAAAACCAGAAAAAAAAAAAGAGAAGAGGAGGAGAAGAAGACCAATTCTACATGCAGATTCACAGACCTAAAGATGCAGAAACCAAAATAGAAGAAATCAATAAACCCTAAAACTGAAATTGAAAGGATTTGCAGAAAAACCTGTAGATCTTGTACATACAGCGAATCAGATCCAGTCTAGCCAAGGTTCAAAGTATCGGCCGAGTCGTATCCGTCTCAACTACCACCAATCCGATAACGATACACGATACAAGACTATCATAAGTCTGCCACGAATCGGTTTTGACTCGGCCCAACTCGGTCTAATTTGGACAAACTCGGTCCAACTCGAGTGATTAACCTTTGAATCGTACCAATACCTACAGAATTGTTCACCAACTTTCAGGCAACAGAGAAAATGCCAAAAAAAGATAAAAAATTGAACTCTAAATTAGATCCCTTTTACCATAATAAAAACAAAACAACAAAGTGAGAACAAATTTGAACACAAACCTGAAAAATTGTGGTAAATTTCCTTAATCAAAGAGCATTTCCTACTATATGTTCTTTTCTTCTTCTTCTTCGCATCAACAGAGGAACTAGCATTATTGACCGACTTTGCATATCAATTGTAGAAACCTTAGACTCCTTGACGATCGGATGATGACTACTTAAGTTGCAAAGGACCTAGCCTGCTTCACGCGAGCTCTCACTCAGTCCCTTTCTCATCTCTTCTCTTCATCTCTTGTCTCCATCTCCGTCCCTCTCTCTCTCTTCTCGAAACTTAAAAGTGAAAGACTACCTCAGTAAAAGTTGTATTAAAGAAAAGATTAAAAAAATGTGTTGATTTTTATTTTTTCTCTTCTAATTTCAATTTTTTTTGTATGTTCTAATTTCTTTTCTTTCTTTTTTTGTATGCTTTCTGTTTTATCCTATTATTAAATTAAATTATATTTAAACTTTAAAAAAATTATATGTATTCCATAGTATTGGGATCTAATTTATTTAAGAAATTAATAATTTATAGATGACTATTTTTTATTGGTATAGCATAGATAATTTTTATTTTTGATAGCACCTTTATAATCTATTTTTGTAATTTTTAATGTGTTAGATAATGTATTTTAGGCATATAATGCACGGATGTTGTTGTTTACATTTTATAGAATTTTTGATATTTTTTTTCAATTTTTTTGGAACTTTTATCTAGCATTTTGAGCGTATCAGCCGTGACCAATGTGTATCAGTGCCCTCCGAGTTGATGGCCGATACCGCAACTTTGAACCATGAGTCCAGCCCATCCAAGGTCTTTCTCTTGCTCGCTCGCTTCGCGCCTTTCTCTCGCTCTCTAGTTTCACCACTCTCTCTCTCTCTGGTTTCTTTCATCGTCACCTAAGTAAGAGCGATTGCGACTGACTGAGAGATAAGAGCGACTGGGTATGCTTTTTTCGGTTTTTTTTTTGGTGTAGTCAAAAAAGTTGTATTATATTAATTACACCTACAACCTCGGTTTTTTTCTTTCTCTTTGTCAAATGATAAAGGATTCAAAAATTTGAGATTTTTTTTTGTTCCCAATGGTTCCAAATGCTTGCCTAAATTGAGAGCAAAATATTGCACACGTCCCAAATGGTTTTGCGTGTGTTTCCATTGCACATTGCACATAAATGATGACATGTTTTTTGGTTGCGCCCTTATTATTCTTTTTTGTAATGATTAATGTGTTAAATGATGAATTTTAAGGATATGATGCATGAATGATAATATTTACATTTATTACAATTTTTCTTAATTTTTTCAAAAAAAATTTGATCCTTCAACATAGTTGTTTAAACGTATCGGCCGATACCATGCCGCGACTGATGTGTCTTAGTGGCCTCCGAGTTGAGGTCCGATACCGTGACTTTGAACCATGAGTGAAACAGAGTTTGCTATTATGTTTCACATGGACTGTAAAGTAAGAATCAAGATTTGGAACCATCCAACCTCATAAAAAGGTTGTGCTTAAAAAAACCAATACTATAAGTCATTTCTAATCTTGCCCTTGTGGTTATGTTTTCCCTGTAATATGGCTCTAAGTTCACATAAATAATCATATGGTATAATCCATTTGCATCATCCAAACTATTCAATTCTTTTTTTCTTGTGCAGCCTCCTTTCATTGGTGGTAATCGGGGAAGAGTTCAGCAAAAGATAACAAAGGATAAACTTAAGCTGCCTGCATTTTTGTCAAGTGAAGCGCATTCTGTATTGAAAGGAGTAAGTTCTGCACATTTTGTAATGAAATTGGTTCTTAAAACAATTTTCTAAAGTTGTTTCCCATTTTTATATCAACATAAAATTCTTTCCTAGTGATGGCTATATTAAGTGTACCATGAAAGTTTGCTTCTACATGCAATGAAACAATTAAATGACTAGGGATGGTTGGTTTTGAAAATGAAAACAATGCATCTCTCATTGCCTAAGAATTTGGCAGTGTCCTTCATTTTTTTACTTCATTTGTTTATTCTGTAACAATTAAACTGAAATATTTTTTTTTATACTTAAGCTGCTGCAAAAGGATCCAAACAAGCGACTGGGCAGTGGGCCAACAGACAGTGATGAAATAAAGCACCATAAATGGTTCAAGTCAATGAACTGGAAGAAATTGGAGGGCCGGGAAATTCATCCCATTTTTCGTCCTGAAGTTGCTGGAAAACATTGCATTGCCAATTTTGATAAGCGCTGGACTGACATGCCACTGTTAGATTCTCCAGTGTCCAGTCCAAAACAAAATGGGAACCTCTTCCAGGGTTTTACTTATGTTAGACCTACGGCCTCCTTTCTTCAGAGAAATGACCCCTTGAACTAGTATGCCTTCTGGGAAGAAGGTCATCTTGAAGTCATTACTTATTCCTTCTGTTGGTGCCTATGTAGCTAGTTTAGGCGGTTGTTAGCAACCCCATGCTTACTTCATCATTCTATATGGGTGTGTTAGAGGAAGATACTTACCATTTGGGCCACAGCTACAGGTCATTTATGGTTTTGTTTTTAATGTGCCTCTTTTTGTTATGTAAGAATGTTTAAACGGGAGCTTAATTTGACTTTGATACTTACAAATTGAAGTTTTGTTTGACCTCATACCTTAGTTTTTTAGCTCCCATATTAACAAGGCCTTGTGGTACTGTTACTGTAGTAACTTCTAATTGGGCTTTTTGTCACATTTACGGTGTAAAACTATTACTGCAGCTAACTCGGCATGTAATGGTGATGCCCTGTTATATAAAACATAGGAACATAGATTTTGCAATTGACGATATCCACGCCTGCTGAGTGAAATTGCTGTCTTTTATGCTAGATCCAATTAAAGCCCTTGTTGATAGCCAACAACTCGCGCCATAGTAAGCTTCTTGACAAGCACTGATGGCTTCTCTGGTACACCCTACTGCAACTTTTTTTTTTTCCACCAGTACCCTAAATTCATTTCCTTCTCTCCTTCGAGACCCACATAAGAGAATGTTCTATCGGATAAACCCTTTGGTAAGCTTCCACATCAGTGTGTTAATCTTCAACAACAATTGCATGATAGGAAATAGTACAATTGGCATCTACATTGCCATTAAGCAACCATTGGTAACAGTTTTATTTCCCAATAACTTCGTTATTCACAATCCACAATGACATGGATGCTTATGTGAACATAACATTTTAAAGTTCATCATGGAGGAGAAACGCCTCTAAGGCATGCTTCTTCTTGCAACCCCAATGGCATTTCCGAGAACACAAGGAGTTGAAGGTCATAAGCCTAGTAGACTGAAGAGACATGATGTTTGATGTTGAAGGGGACTTTGAAAGAACAACTGCATAACCATCATCCATGTAGTCTGTCCCTTCGGGAAACAGCTGCCACAAAAGGCTTCCACCCCCACTCCCTCCTTGCTTAGTAGAGTTCAAAAGCGTCTTATACACTGTGCTGATGAGGGTGTCCCGGAATGATGAATTGAAACCAGGATCTTTTGCAGATACGCCAAACTCCCCAAAAAGAACCGGCATGTCAAGGAACTTCTCAGAATCATCAATGTGGGATTGCATCCATGACTTGATGAATTCAAGATGTTTATCCGAAATTGATTGTGAAATCCTTCATGAATGTTAATAGTCTAATCAGAACTCGCCATACCAGAAAAATTAATTATAACAAATGTAGCTGCATGTATACATATATTCTCCATTTGAACGAGACATATATACTGCATCTAACAAACTGCATGCACGATCATGCTTATGGCAGTTTAAGTGTGAATCATTCCAAATATAAATGCATGTCTAGTCACCTACATACAAGCATGATACTGAGCATTAGACAACTTTAGAAATAAAATGTATCAGAAGAATTCGCCACCGTCCATTGATGTCGTTCTGCATTATAAGATTAAATTTCCATTGTAGAGAGTCTATTTTTCAGCACACAGGTTACTTACCAAGAGTCAGCATAAATGTGAACAGAAGCAAAGTCAACCCCAAGAGCCAGATGGTTCCTGATAAAGTCAGTCCCAACTTGTTGAGCATATGTATTTGGGTTGAACTGAGCCCTGTTAGGTGTTGAGGGACCATAAAATCCTTCCAATCCAATCTCTACCAGGTGCCTTGGATCAATGCTCTTCACATAAACTGCCATTTCTTCTATCCAAGCCTATAAATAAAGCCATTTTGATACTCAGCAAATACCATGCCATACGAGATGCAACCATGCAAGAAACATGACACTAATTGTGAGAAAATAAGGTTAGCTTAGTACTTTTATCTGATGCCTAAGCCCTCTTTACAATATGCCCGGAACTCTATAAAAATTAGTTGTTAAAGGAAACAAACCTGCAGCCTATCCCCAGATGTATCTGACTCGCACCTAGGCTCATTCATCAGTTCCCAGGCAAAAATTGTAGGATCATCCTTGTATGTTATGTTGGTGAGAGTATTGACTCGATTAAGCACTGTCTACATAGTCCAAACATTTGACCGAGAGAAAGCAAGAAGCCAATTAGACTAAGTACAAAATCAATAGACCAAAATCCCACTGCTACGGTGTAGGTATATAAAACGCATCAAGGTTATGCTAGTTGCAAAGTTTTAGTTAAAGATGAATCAGTAAAAGATGGTACTAAGCAGTGTTATTTAAGGCGTAAAGCGAACCGAAGCGACCAAAGCTCCTAACGCCTAGGCGAGAAGCGAGAAGCGAAGCGACACGCTTTACCGAAGCAAAGCGAACAGTTAAAAAAAATATATATTTTAGTTTAATTACTTCTAAACAATCTAAGTTCTAATTTTATATATACTAAATATTTAAATGCAAGTAAAACCATAAACATTTAAATTAAAACAAACACTAATAATATCTCAAATCTTAATAACAGTCATAACTTAAACATTTAAATTCAAACAAATACTAACAATTGTATACATTTTCATATTGACAGGGTAGGACAACAAAAGAAGCAGAATCAGGACAACAGCAGAATTAGCAACAAAAAAAAAAAAAGCAGAATGACAATTAAAAAAAACAAAAGCAACACAGGACAGCAAAATCGAAGCAGCAACAGAATCAAAAAAAAAAAAATAGAAGCAGAATGAGCTAAAAAAAAAACAGAAGCACAATGATCATGACAGGAGCAGAATCAATTGTAAACAATTTCATATGTAATTATATACTGAATAAAAAAAAGCAGAACAGAGGCACATTTCACATGTACTAAAATAATTAAACATGGTATAAGCATAGACCACTTTTTGGTACCATTTGTATATACATAAGAAAAGGTAAAAGTATAACCAAGACATATCAGAGACACTTCTTTGTAGAAGAATTTATTATTTACCCCTATTTCTGATACTCCTGCTTTATTTTTTTATCATAATTGTCATGCAGTGTAGTCGCCTGACTCCCACATCCCACAAATATTCTAAATGAATTCAGCAACACAAGGAAAAAAAAGGAATGTATTTTGTTCGAAACATTGTTTATTAAAAAAAAAAAAAAATAGACCAGCAATAGTCTAAAAAAAAAGTCATTAGTGATTAAAAAATAAAAGAGACTACTAACCTATAATCAGAAAAAAAAAAAAAAAAAAAGTGAAGCAGAATCGCTTTTTATAATAAAGCGTTCACTTTTTCGCTTTTTTTGCTTCTTCGCTTTTTCGCTTTTTCTCGCTTTTTTCTCGCTTCGCTCACGTTCGCTTCGCCTGGGGTCCTCCAGGCGAGATAAGCTCGCCTCGCCTCGCTTCTCGCCTAGGCGAGCGCCTAGGCGAGCTTTTCAAAACACTGGTACTAAGACTATTAAGGAAGGAACTTGCCTTAACATGGGCCTTGTAGTAGCTTTTGAGAGTTGGATGAGAGAAGAAGTCATCATCAGAAGTCAAATTTAGGCCGGCAGCTTTACCCCATTTAACATATTGTGCTTTGCCGCCATAAGCTTGCCAATTGTTAACAAACGACAATATTAGCCTGATCTTGTACTTCTTGGCTTCACTTACAACAAAGTCCAACGCCTGTAGTGCAAAACAATCCATCATGGATGGTTGAATCATCACAAATTGCCCAACTTTAAAACCATTGTTCACAAAGTCTGGACCATGTATATCACAATGGAAGCAAAATCCTCAATTTTAATTAAAATGAAAGGTAACTTCAGACTGAATTCATACAACTGTTAAAATTATGCAACTCCAAGCAGTTCAACTCAAATATCATGGAAAAGTCTGTTCAGTCTACCTTCTGAAGGAAGGTAAAAAGGGCTATTTTGCAGGTTGCAAGGGAATTACCGATGAAAAGTTCAAGCCCTCTGGAATTTTCATATTTCTTCTAATCTGTTAGAGGCATCTGATACAAAGTCTGTTATCAATTATACTTTCTTAAGTGTTGCAACTTGCAAATAAGCACCAATTCTATGCCTTCAAAGTTTTTCCTAATATAAAATGCTATTACCCACACATCAAACCGGAGGCACCAGAATTGACACTGCAAATTGTTTCTCCCAAGTTGAGAGCAAAATGACATAATTCACGTTGATGTAAATGAGAAACAAAGAAGCACCTTAAAGACATCTTCATCGTAAACAGACGGAGATTTCTGAAGAGCCCTCCATTGGCCATCATTGAAAGCCCATGTCCGACATAGTGTGAGACCCACAGAAGATGCCTGCTGGAACACTTCACTGACCTTTCCTCTTGTAGATTGATCCACAGAAAATACCATCAACCAGTAAGTATTGAACCCATTTACATAAAAAGGTTGGCCATTAACCACAAACTGGTTCCCCTTTTTCTGCACCATTGTCCATTCATCATTTTCCATGTCACCCAAACCATAAACCCTGTACACATGAATAAGTAGATCAAATGAAGTGTAAATAATGAGAAATTATGAGTACCTAATTAAAGACAGACAAGAAGCCAAAAAGAGGAACTTTGTAACTGGTACCCATGATTTACACTATAAAATGCTGTATCTACCAGTGATTCTGAATTCTCATCTCCACCAAGTACAGCAGAGTTTGATACTGCAACAAGCATAATAAGAGTAGCTACCCAAAAACTGATTTTAAATCTAAATTTCCCCTCTTGGGTGTCCATGTTTTCCAGTAAATATCCACATTTTGATTTTTTTCTTAGACAGCAATATATATACATGTATGTCTATGGTATCTATTATGTGGACATCCATATTGTGATATACAAGAGAAGTGTTGAAGAGGAAATCATCTTGTTACCTTCAAAGCAAAGATGTCTTCTCTTTTACATCTTGATAGAAAAAAAATGGAGAGTTGGTAGTAACTCATGTTTTTTTTTTTTAATTTATTTTTCTTATTAATTTTGGTAATCTAGAGAATGTGACAAACTTATATACCTCATTTAAGAGGGTTCCATATCCCCCCTTTTTGGAACTCAAAGGAAAAGAAGTTCTACCAAGCAATTTGCCCTGTTTTCAACAATGTCTTGAACTTGTCGAAGTTTATCTCACATAGTTCAGATGTCTTAGTCAATCCCATTGGCAAAGACATGAAAGGAAAAGCCCCAATTAATTTCGGCTATGTAACTGTAAGCCAAAACTAGAATTAAAGAATCTAAAGATTAGAGGTGTTGAAAGATCATTATTCCTTAGCTTCAAAGCATAAACATATGTATATGTGTGTGTATATACACACATGCATACACAAATATACATAGGTGGTTGGTGAACTAGGCTGATCGAGTATCGTATACAAATGTACATGTATACATAAACCTCGATTCATCATCCAGCTTCAGGATGACAAATCTGTTAACTTGCACCAGGGCCCTAAAATTGACTAGCAAAACCAGGATTACAAAACCATTTTTTCTTTTTTGTGAATATGAAATAAAATTGAAGAGGCTTCAGGGCTCCAAAGTGAGGAATTACAATATCAATTATTTACGAAAGAAGGGAAATAAAACAGGAAAATTCAAACAGAAAGGTACATGAAAAGTGGTCGTTCATGAAGCTTAAGTACCTCAATAAATAAACAAAATAATTTCCGGGAAAAAAATGACAAAAAAGAACATGTAATGTCCATTTCCATAGTGGAATTCCGTACCCCTTTGCTTACCTGCTGTTAGAAGACTGTTTTGAGTATGGTGTCGATGGTCCCATCCAACTCCAACTCCAGCAACACCACATTGCCAATACTTAATGCCCAAAGAGTGGCAGTGAAGAGAAAAGAGAAACGAAATGCGCAAATTTTCATTTTCTTCTGCCACTCCTCCTAATTACAATTTTAAAAGGTATTAAAGAGAAAATTTTCGGGGCAAGGACAGCTGCCTCTTGCCCAGGCACCCAACGCCATGGTGATATAGCGCGCGCGCGCACACATACAAAAGAAACCGACCGCTCAACTTTCTCTTCTCAATTTTTGTCCATTGTAAAAGTGTTGCAAACAGTCCGTTGGAATTTAACCAAACTCCCCAGTTATTTTATCAACGTGAGTAAGTGGTTAATTATAAATTAAAAAAAAAAAGAAAAAGACTATGACGCCTTATGTAGGGGGGGGCGATTGTGGGCTGGAAATCCCTCTTTGGGCTGTTTGGGCCTTGCGGTCGTGATATTTGTACCAGCGAGGTGAGGGATTGGACTATTTCACATTGGATAGTTTCGAATTTGTGAGTTTGTTTATAAGTTTTTATTTGACTCTTATTTTGTTAGAGTAACTGATTAAGTGTGAATCAAAAAAAAAAAATGAAAATCCTATATGAAATAGAATTATATTAGAAGAGTTTTAATATATCATAAATAAGTATGTTAGACATATAATAAGAAAAATAAAGATCAAGTGGTATCTAAATAAGTTAGGGTTATCCTATTTTATCCCTATAAATAGGGTTGAGGATTATGTAATTAGTTATCAGATGATTAATTTTTTAATAAAAAATATATTAATATANACAAGAAAAATAAAGATCAAGTGGTATCTAAATAAGTTAGGGTTACCCTATTTTATCCCTATAAATAGGGTTGATGATTATGTAATTAGTTATCAGATGATTAATTTTTTAATAAAAAATATATTAATATAAGTTTTTGGTCCGTAAATGTATGTACGGTATACCAAAATGACTATGTTGTATCGAATATCGCTTTTATTACTTTCCTATTTTTGTTTGAATTTTTATCTTTTAACAAGTATAATTTATATTAATTATTTGTAATGCAAAACCAACTTATTCAGTCTCACACAGCGTCACAAAGAGGGTTGAGATACAGAGTCAACTGATCCATTTCTGAAAGAAACCGACCTTCCAATTGCAACCCACCCACCCCCCATGCCGCACACAAACTAACAATGGATTTTTATTTATTACGTAGGAAAAAAGAAAAAGGTTTTCCTTTTTTAAGATTTTGATTTCCTTTCAATATGTTTTTGTTTCAATAATAAACCATTTAACGTGTATTATAAAAAATTAATAAAGCAAATATATTGAGTGACACACCATGATAAATAATCTATTAATAATTTATTTTTTTAAAAAAAACAAATATATGGGTGTGTGAAACTAAAAAATGTGAGATTAGTGTGTAGTAGATGACCTGTGCAGGTGTGAGTAAAGTAACAATTTGTAACAATATAAGAAAATATGTGATTTATCTGGTTGAAGAGTTGATTAGTCCACTTTAACGAAAACTCTTTCTTTTAGTTTGTATTATTTGGAGAATTAGATGATTGCACTCTCTTGAAGACAATTGCAGATCGTCTCAATAAGGCAAGTGCATGCCTATTTATATACTAAAGTAGTGTGATCCTCGAGACCTAATTTGTTATAATATTGGATAAAATATTTGATTGTTAAATCTTTACTAATAAGATAGGACTCATTTTGAATTTTTTTCTACTTTAAAATTTAATTTTATTTGGAAAAGCATAAGAACGGCTCAGATTAAATCCACTTTTAATTCAAAGGCCCACATTTTCATCTCATTTCTTCCATTTCAATCCAATGGCTTGCAATGCATCTCAACCCAAAAAAAAAATCCCGCCCATTTTTATCCACACGCCTACAGTTACTCAAATCAAACCCATTCCCCTACACAGCTACTCTCTGTCTCCCGCCATGCCTCACCCATTTCCCTACATACCCATTTCCTCTGCCATGCCTCACCCCAGACAGCAACCCAGACCCCTTACCCCTCTACCCACACCCTTCTCACAACGGCTCAGCAGCAGCGACACCGGCTCAGCAGCGGCACACAGTGGCGATCAACACAGCAGCGACACCAACGGCGTTCAACACAGCGGCACACAGCGGCACACCAAGCTCAGCCCAGGTACCTCCCTCTCCCCCTTTCACGACCCACAGCAAATTAAACATACCCACCTCTCTCTCTAGCTGAAGTCGAAAATGATCATTTCTGCTCAAAGATTGGAAAACATTTTGATTGCAGAAAGCTACAGAAACCGAGTGCTTGAAAACATTTTCATTTCTGCTAGAGAAATGGTTGGTGCTTGAAATGGGTTCCAATTTGGGTTTTTGGATCGAGTGTAGTGTTGAGGTTCCTGGGTTTCTGGTTGTGGAAAAGTTGAAAAAAATTGCTTTATGGGGGTTAGTGTTTGGATGCGATTTGCGAGGACCTGAAGTGAAGTTTTGCTATTTTGGAAAATAATGAAAAGCTTTTGGGTGGTGCATATTCTGTAAAATCATTGCTGAATTTCCGAATTTTAACGAATTCTGTTAATGTTAACCACATTAACAGAAAGATGGAAGCTTTAGATTACTTACTTTTGGTCCAATTCAAGTTGGGGTGACTGTTGTTTGAATTGGGCTGAATAATAGAAGCAACAGTTTTTTTCCCTTTGTGGTACGTGTTGGATGTTGCTGAATTTTAGACTTAATGCCCAATCTAGCTGTTGATGAGGGTGGCAAATTTAGAAATTGATACTACCTGGTGAATATAATTCAAAACCACTTTGAATCAGGACAAAAGAATTGATGATGGAGATAGAAGGAATAATGAGAATATTGATAAGTATAGTTTAATGTTCCATTCCTTCATAGTATAGTTTAATGTTGATTTGAAATATTATATTGTTTCCTTAATTTAGACTAAAGAAAGGGTTTTTTCATCCTTTTATTTTTTTTGGTTGAGGTTGCTTTTGACAGGGAAACACTTAGTTAATGCTTGTAATAGATCTATTTGAAAATCTATTTTATTAAGATTCCCTGTTTTACTCAATTTTTAGAGCTTTAAACCATAGTGTTTGAAGATAAAGATTTATTACTATGTTAATGTGGATAACTACATCCATATATTTCTTGCCAATGCAACTTATGATGGATGAATTGTGTACAGCAGGCAGTATTCTTGATAGGGCTATTGAAGCAGAGGACAGGAAGCATGGAGACTTTCTGAGGCTGGTATTGTCATTGTATCATGTGTCTCTTTCACTTTTTTGTTATCTGCATTGGACAAAAATTAATCATGCCCACCTCCCACCATGGGGAAGGGGGAGTATGCCCACTCCTATGCCCACCTGCATAGGTGAAATGGATGCTTACTCCTAATATATGTTATTCTGGGAAGCAAACCTACTGAACCTTATGTAAATGTGATGCGTGCAGGAACACATTGAGGGGTACCTTGAACTGTCGGCCAAGACGAAGTCTTTTTTTACTACAGTTGTTGCTTTGTGGGATGCGGATTTCTATGTTAAATATAGGTATAGATGCCAATATTTTTCTGTTGCATTTTCTCATTTTATTTTCCAAATAACTATATTTGTTTCGTTATTTCGTGGGAGATATTATGAGATCATGATTTTGAAGCTGGAAATTACTGTAATAGCTTGCTCTTGTGGAAGGCCTGAGATTCCAGTTTTTTT